CGATCACTTGTCTTAACATTATGTACAAGATATACACCGCTTTAATGGCTGGCAAAACTTACAAGTATTTAGGAAGTGCTGAACTTCTCCCAATAGAGCAGAAAGGGTGCCGAAAAGGAGCAAATGGATGCTTAGATCAACTCCTTATATCCAAGACTGCCATTGAAGACTGCAAAAGAAGGAAGAAAAATCTATCCGTTGCATGGCTAGACTACCAAAAAGCCTTCGACAGCATGCCACATAGCTGGATCATACGAGTACTGGAGATAATGAGAGTCCACCCAAATCTAGTCAACGCGTGTAAGAACATGATGAAACACTGGGCAACTATCATCCAACTGAACGGAAACGCGGGCCAAATCGTAACTTCGGAAATCAAAATCAGGCGTGGAATCTATCAAGGAGACGCATTCTCGCCCCTTCTGTTTTGCACAGGACTAATACCCCTATCGAAGAAGCTGAACTAACAACAGAACGGATGCGACCTCGAGGATGGTTACAAACAACTGACACACCTTCTTTACATGGACGACTTGAAACTCTTCAGTAGCAATGAAACAAAGCTTCAACAACAGCTTAAAACAGTAAAAGAATTTAGTGACGATATCGGAACGAAATTCGGCCTAGATAAGTGCGCTAAAGTGACTTTCAAGAAAGGAAAGTTTTTTAAAGGTGAAAATGTAACCATCGACAATGAAACCAGCATCAGACAACTAGACCCTAGTGAAACTTACAAGTACCTAGGCGTGGAAGAGAATTCAGGAGTGCAAAGTACAACAGTCAAAGAGAAGGTCAAGAAAGAATACATCCGAAGAGTTAGGGCAGTATTAAAGACAGCTGTCAGCAAAAAATAAGATTTCGGCCATCGGAGCACTTGCAGTTCCCGTGCTTCAGCACGGATTTGCAATCCTAGACTGGAAGATGACAGAAATCCGAGCTCTGGACGTCAAAACAAGAAAATACCTGACAATGTACAAAATGCACCACCCATCCGCGGATGTTCACCGTCTCTACGTCAGCAGAAAACTGGGAGGAAGAGGGTTGAGGCAGATAGAAGCAGCGTACAAGTCCACCATTATCAGTACGAAATACTACCTGAGAAAGAAGAGGAATGAAGATCTGTTTCTTAAATCGGTACACGAGGCGGACACCCAGCTGAACACGCTGCACTCGATTACCAAAAAAGCTGACAAGTTTGAAACTGAGTTAGAACAAGACTTTGAACAAACACCAGATTAAAGCAGGAACCAAACAATCAAGAAGAAAATAGCCGAAACCTTAAGATCAAAGTGGACCGAAAAGAACATACACGGTCAGTACCCTCGCTTACTGGGAGAAGACAGAGTCGAAAGCACTCTTTCAACCATGTGGCTGAGCAAAGGAGCATTAAAAGGAGAAACCGAAAGCCTAATTGCAGCAGCCCAAGACCAGGCTCTTAACACTAGGTACCGAGATCGGAAAATACACGGCAGAGCCCGAGACAGTAAGTGCAGAATTTGCCATCAGCACGAGGAAACTATAGATCACATAATATCGGCGTGCCCGATCCTTGCCAAAAAGGACTACATAGAACGGCATGACAGAGGGTGCGCCCATCTCCATCATAACTTGTGTAAAGAGTACAATATAGCAGTCGAAACAAACTGGTACGAGCACAAGCCAAAAGCTATCACAGCAACGGATGATGGACAAACAACTATCATATGGAATGTTCCTGTCAGAACTGATAGGACGGTGCCGAACAACAGGCCTGACATCATACCGCGAAAAAGGGGGCAAACTTGCTTGCTTATCGACGTGTCAATCCCAGCGGATAGGAACATATTGAAGGAAGCCGAAAAAAGACTCAAGTATAAAGACTTAGAAATCGAGATAAGTAGAATGTGGAAAACAGACACGAAAGTCATACCCTTCGTAATCGGCGCGACGGGAGCAGTCTCGAAAGAATGGAAGAAATTTAAGGAAGAAATCCCTGGGAAGCACTCTCTTGTCGCAGCTCAGAAAGCAGCAATCCTCGGAACTGCTAGGATACTAAGGAAAGTCTTAAGTTGAAAACCTTAACCAAAGAATTCATACTCATTTGTTCCCACACACCAAAAACACCCCTACCCCCTACCACCTCAGGAAAGAAACCTTTAGGCAGGCGTCCTCCAGACACCTACCCTGCCTCGGTTCCTAAAACAGGTATTCTTGTCCGGGACGAGCCATCCCCCAAGGGGGAGTAAAATAATCACCACCCGGCCACCCAAACCACAAACAGCCCTCATACCTAGGAGCATTGTTTGCCCCTGTGTGAGGGCTTAAAGCAACCCAGCAAAGCTGGTGACAGTAGTGAACATAAAGATAATAATAATAATGATGATGATGATGATGATGATGATGATGATGGGCAATGGGCATCCAAAACACGTGCTCGAGAAGTTCAATTTCAAGCGGCGGCCGCTTGAAATTGAACTTTTCGAGCACGTGTTTTGGACCTTTTGCGCTCCAGAAAAACGGTGTCGCGGCGGCAGAAAAAAGGTGCCGCGGCGACAAAAATATGGATCGCGCGATTCAAAAGAACGCGGCGACAACTGCCGCCGGCGACACGGCGACACGAATCGCGTGCATAAATGGGCTCTTAAACACATCGAAGTTTTTATATTTTATTTCTTTATGAGTGAAGGGCTGAAGGGGGCAACTGTCGGGATATTTTTAAGTAAGAACATTTGTCCTGTATGGTCAGATATAGCTAAATCGCAGTTGTAAGATATGAATTCACTTATATTAATATTAGTGAAGACATTGTCAATAATGGTCGCTGAGTGATCTGAAACACGCGTAGAATCAAATATGGTTTGCCTTAAGTTCTTTTGTTGCAAAATTTGTAAGAAATTACTTGTTTGATTATTTTCAAGATCTGAGTCGATGTTAAAGTTGCCTGTGCACAATTTTTTGATTATTTGGAACCTCATCGAGGAGGTCTGCCATGGATTCTAAAAATGTATTTACGTCTCCGCTAGGAGATCTGTAAATACAAAGTATAAGATACCGAATTGCATTGGTCGGAGTGAAATAGCAGGCAGCAATTTCTTGTTGCATTTCAATCGCTGATTTTTCCCAATGCTACATGCAGTAACATAATTCATCAAGGAACTTTTGATCCATACGGCGCAGCCACCTGCTCTATGATCTGTCGGACAGAAATATGAAACTAATTTGTAGTTTTCAATCTTGATACTAGTCAATTCTTCTTCTTCTAAACCTACTTCAGTTACACACATTATGTCAATATCTTCTAAAAAAAGGAAATCCTTCATAACAAAGATTTTTTTCTCGTAAGTACTCCATATTCTGATGAAAAATTCTAAGATCCACAGCTTGAGCGACATTTTCTAAAAACTGATCGACTGTTGTTGACAGCTGCTCAATCTATAACTATGCCCGCTCGTGCTTGCCTCGTCCAGATTTAACAGTTTAAATGACTCAAAATAGTTTTAACCATTTTGGAAAGTTCGATTTTACCATTCTTATTAAGGTGTTGACCGTGATCGGTGAATAGCTTACGATCAAAATTATGGACATCTAACATGTAAACATTGTCAAACATGCCAACTAGGTTACATAATTTGCTATTTGTTTTCCTGATTTCTCTATTTATATGGGAGTCATTGCTTGGATCACGGCGTGGCGGAATTGTTGCCAATAAAATATTTTGGTCTTCATCAATATTAAAAAGCATTTCGTAAAGATCGTTGTAAAAGTTTTAGAACTTTTAGATTTTCAAATTTGAATAATGTAGCCGCTTACAGTATCGAATTGAAAATTGCCCCAAAAAATGCCCCATAACTTCAAAAACTGGGGGTTTAGGGGAAAAGTGCAAAGAGTATAATGTTCTTATTCTTTGCTGTAGATTCCGAATCCACAGTCAAAACGTACCCTTCCTATTCGAAAATCGCGAGATACAGGGGAGCACCTCCCCCCCCCCCAAAAAAAAACACCCCCAAGGGGCCATTTTGGGGGCTGAAAATATTTTGATTCGAATCTTTGGGGTGGGTTTACCCATTGAAAGTTTTTGTCCCGAAGCTCATTTTCCGCCGTTCTCGAGAAAAAGATAGTGGACGGCTGGTCTGGATCATCCTGTATAGCAATGTAAGAGTGTATTGCTAAAATATGAAGAGAGATGAATAGTGCACAGGTGGGTGACCGGCGCACAGTGGATCGAGTCAATAGGGGAGCTCGGACAAAATTCGGAAACTTTAAAAGCGCATAACTCCGTTTATACAAGACTTAGAGATTTTAAAAGTGGCTCCATTGGTTTCCTCATACAAATTTCTCTTAGAATTTAAAATGTGACAAATTAAATATCAAAATATGCAGTTCTAGCTAAAAAAATTCATGTCCGACCTCTCTAATTGACTCGATCCACTGTGCGGCATGGCCCAGGCGCAAACGGATAATGGTCAGCTGCGCAAACGCATAATGGTCAGCTGCGCAGACGGATAATGGTCAGCTGCGCAAACGGATATTGGTCAGCTGCGCAAACAGATAATGGTCAGCTGCGCAAACGGATAATGGTCAGCTGCGCTGACAGCCAATTAGAGAGGTGGCTGGCGCCATGACTTGTGACAAGGGCTGCCAACCACACAACTGAAACTATGGTGACTATGGACAGGAATTACGGAAACGTTTATAAACTATCTTAAGGAAGTGAAACTCTTTTCAAACCCACCTGGTGAAAACACCTCTATTTGTGCTAGATGCATTTGAGTGCTGTTGGTGCTCTTAAACGCGTCTAGTACGGGCAAGATGTGTTTTCACAAGGGGAGTCAATGAATTAAAGTGATCTATACTGCTTCCATTGTATCATAACCGCAGGAGCTGTTTTTCAGTAGTATGCTCATCCATAGTGTAACAGATAATAAAGTATCCAAATTTCCTTTGAAGATGACGCTAATTTTAATTTAAATTAAATAATGCTCATACTTTTACCTATTCATGTTTTGGTCCTTTTTCTCTAGGCCTAAAGAAGACAACCAACCCATCAGGAATACAGTACAAAATCGGTCGTATATTTTTAACATCTGTTCCAGTCGGGAGAAATTTCTCACTTACCTGCAGTACCATAAACGATTAAAGTTTCTAGTCCTGAAAGAGAAAAATGTCCTAGGAGTTGGAACTCTTGAAAATCTTTCTCAAATTTTTCACAACCGTCATTACGATAATTTCGTTGATGTATATGACAAAGACTCACAATTGATCGCAGATGTGCATGTCTGTTTCAATCTAACAATTTTCCCTGAAAATTCCCCTCGAAGTTTCATCCAGAGAATTGATTCTCATGAAAATGATCTGAATCCGCGACGAACAGTTCCATTTTATTCTCAAGCTGAGAAGCTTAGAGTAGGGTTTGGTGAGAGGGCAGACGAAGAACCAAGATGCCCAGTGTTTAGTCATTTGGATGACACTAGGAAATTGCTTGAGTATCTTCAAGCCGATGAAGAAAAGAAAAAGATGTCTCTTGAACGAAGGTGCCCTGTTTATAGTCATTTAGATGACGAACGGAAATTGCTTGATTACCTGAAATCAGAAGAACGGAAGAAAAATGTCTCACTTCTGGATATCACAAATCTTTGTTTGACGGACGAAAGTGATGAAACCAATTTTGCATTATCATCTCCTTCCAGTAAACTATCATCTACCAGTGTAAAAAGCTGCGACTCAAGATCTACAACTGAGTGCTTGCAAGATTATTTGAATGGTAATTATTTTTCCAAAAAATTTTCCTGTCTTTTTAGAAGGTTTTTGAAGAAGGTGAGTACATTTGAATGGAAATTCGGACAAAGGAATGCATTTTTGTTCATTGATGAAGATTTTAAAGCGCAGTAAGCATATCGACGGTGTAAGTCGGCAGTCACATAACTCGTTTGCGGTGGCTGAAAATTTCCGCCTCTTTGTTATTTTTTTAAAATAGAACAAATTGACATTCCTTGTAGTTTATGCAGAATTTTCTTCGTACAGAGAAGACAAAGCACAGAAGTTTTAAAGAATTACCGTTGAGTAGTTTTCCGTTTAAAAAATAAGGTATGACAGGAAGTCTGCGACGTCGCAAACCGAGTTATGTGATTGCCGACTTACACCGTCGATATACCATGCAGACCGTGCTTCATGGTCTGGTTGCGAAAATCCGCGGCTGATACATGAAGCATCACCCATTGCATCCTGGGTTATTTTCAAAGCCTCTCCGTGGCGGAAGGGAAGTTGTATTTTCTCATCGTGATATTTTAACGTGGAGACCGTTTAGTGTGCTGGTAACAATTTTCTAATTAATGCCGTGAACAAAGGAATCTACTATGACTCTTAATGTCCTGCTAAAGCTGTCTAATATTTACGTAGCTACCAATTTGCTTAGAGCAGATCGCTGTTTGAAATTTCCTTATCAGTTACACGTGCAAGCTGCGACGCCATGTAACAGGGTTTCCGATTGGCTATCATTTCGGCAGGCAGTGAAGGCCAAGATACACCGGCAAGTTACCAAGTGTCCAGCGACTCACCAATCATTGCTATGACGTCACGAGACCGTAATCGTTGACTTCTCCGTCTCCTTCTCCTCCTTCACGGCGACACGTCATTCCTGTACCCTGTATCTCGGCTCTTATAGCAAAGATTTTTGTAAAACTTGGCGTGTGGGGGTATTTTTTGATGAAGAACTCGAATTTTCAGTCGCTTTTTGAAAATTCACAAATCCAAGATGGCGGATATGGACTAAAATGCTATCTCGGCTCCTATTGCTTCGATTTTCGTAAAACTCGGGATCAGGGGATATTGTTGGACGAGAAAGTCGAATTTTCAGTCCAATTCTCAAACTCAAGATTGTGGATGAGGCCCAAAGTGCTGTCTTAGCTTCTGAAATGGATAAATTCATTCTTGTTAAACATGGTTACGTTGCACGGAGGGCCAGCAGCCAAGTTTAGCCGGACAAAAGTCCTCAGAGGCGCATGAACTTACTAATATGAGAGAATGTATATTTTAGGGGTAATTTAGGTCGCTGAATCCATATTTTGGGTTTCTTTTAAGAATTTTTGAAGTTTTTGATGAGAATTATTAAAAAAAAATTGCTTTATCAACGGGTAATTAATAGCAATTTTTCACTCAAATCTTCAGAGGTACCTGAGATTGTTTTGTGTGAAGAAATTGGTTTCTGAGGGTTATTTTAGTGAGTAAATTACAGTTTAGCTTTCTTTGTTCAACATTTTTCAGTTTAAAATTCAAAAAATTTGAAAAATGATGATTTATCTCTGGGTAATATATGGGAATATATGTCGCGTATTTTTCAGCAGAATTAGCATTGCATCTCATCTCGCCCAACGAAAGTATTCATAGCCCAGAAAACTGCCGAAAACTGCAAGTGAACCAAAGAAATTCTCAAATTTCTGAGTGTGCTTTTACTTAAAATTGACAATTTGAACCCTTCAGACATGTCAAGAAAATTCAGGAGTCGTCTGCATGTCGCGTATTTTTCAGCGTAATTATAGTATTGAATCTCATCTCGCCCAACGAAAATACTCATTGCTCAGAAAATTGCGAAAAATTGCGAGTAGACCAAAGAAATTCTAAAATTTCAGAGTGTGTTCTTACACAAAATTGACCATTTGAACCCTCCAGACATGTCCAGAAAATTCAGGAGTCGTTTGCTTGTCGCGCATTTTTTGGCGGAACCAATGAAAATATTGTTTTGAAGAATGCACTTCTTTTGCCAGAAATTAGAAGATAGAGAGGCAAAGCCGGAATAAAACCTTGAATTAGAAAATTTTATTCAGAATCAGTCATAATTTAACCCCAGAAGTCGGGCCGCAATTGTATGGACAGCTATAATAACAATATAAGTAGATTAGCGTAGGATAGCGCCATTATACGGCATGCTTGCAATTTGGCAACACTGTCTTTCATCCATATGAACACATCTACGATAGAATCGATATATATCGAAAATCCTAACCTAGAATCGATTTTCGTTAGTGTACTTACAAAGAGAAAGAGCATTGATGCCAACATGCAAGAATCGCCAATGCCTGGCACGTCTAAGATCTATATATAAGATCATCTAATATAAGAAATTAGCATAAAATCCTCGATCTTGCGTCACAAAAAAATTCATAACTTACGGTAAGGCAAGAAAAGGCAAATGAACCAATGAAAATTTAGATGTTTAGGATGTACTGAACCACATGGTAGCGGTCCGTAACCTTACAGATCTTTACAGAAAATTGCAGACCACTTTAAACCTAAAAATTAGGACATTTTCGTGCCCAGTTTTTAATTTTGTGTACCAGACTATACAATGCACAAAATTGATAAAAATACCTTAAAGTAAAATGAAAACATGTTAATCTAACTTAGTAAAACACTCGTTATGTTGGGAAACACTCGAAGGTTTGTGGAACATAACCTTTTGGATGAGCGTTGAACCAAGCTAGCATACAGGATAAATAAACACACCACGCGCGCTCGGGAAAATCTTGGCATCGCAGTCTTATTAGTGATAAGACCCCCAAACCCAGTGATGTACAGATACTCCATGATATACCTCATCGCTCAGTGGTGTCTATTTTCGAATTTTCCGGACAAGCCAAAATGGACTTTTGTCCAGCTAAATTCGATTCCTGGCCCTCTGTGCGTTGTCTCAAGTAGCATATGAGTTGTGTTTAAACTCTCTCATGGCGTCAGATTAACGTTCACTTTATTTACGGCTGACCGTAAATCAATCAAACGCAAGCTGTAATGACAGAAGTTGCATTGAACTACGAAAAATATTGATAAGTTTGAATCGATTTTTTTAAAATTTGTTTGTCCAAATCTTGCGTTTTCCCGATAGTAGTGTTTAAGACAGCCGAAACTTTACATTAATGTCAATAAATTTTACTTGACATCTATTATTTGGGATATCATTTTATTTCATGCGACGAATGTTTATATTTTAATCTTCGCAGCTCATATTTACATGGAAATGTTTTCGTTTTCCTTTTGGCACCATCTACTTCATAGCTTCCCTCTATCAAAAAGTTCAAGTTGTCACTCATCGATTAAACTTCCTTTTCCTCCCATAAATTGTCGGTTAAATTAGGATTATTCATGATCATGCCGCGCTTATCAAACACCTCGTGTTGGACTTTCCTGCTTGTTTTCTTTTATGGCTAGAATTATAATTTCGAGAAAATCGCATTTAAAGGTTCGATTCTCAGCGTTGCTGGGTTTTCGCGGTAGGATAACTGCATGAGCATTTTTTCGTAATTGATAGTATCCCTTAAACGACCCACCCTGCTGTTTTTGGAAATATTTTAGTTTTCACCATAAAATTGACAGTTTAAAAAGGTTGTTACAGGTGTTTATCCCGTAGAACACGTAATCTCAAGGTAAAATGGCCGAATGGTTTACTAAAAAACACGATTAATGCTCTGTGACTCGTCATATATTGCAATGGAAGTAGACTACAAAGAAAAACTTTTAATTTTGGCCGTGAACAACGATGACAAAAGTAACTTTTAATCAAAGACGAAATTAGGTAAGAAAAATAGGAACCTAAAAATCAGTCTTCTAAAAACTTGGAGTAATCAGTTTGGAAAACCATTGCCGAGTGTACCTGGTGCAGTCACAGTCTTGACACACTGATGCAGGGCGTTAACGCGTTGATAAATGGATGACCCACCTATTCGTGTATCGGTTTACTATATATCAGCTATTCCAGAGGCCCGCCAGCTGGTCTGACTGACTTCACTTCACTAAATTTGGATTCTTGAGCTGGTAATCAAGGGATCGACTTGCTATCATTACCAGTGGTACCCAAGGATACAATCGAACAGACCGATCTCCGGAAAAACCACCTATAAGCATATAGGTGGTTATTCCACCATATACTTCAATTACTTATATGATGCTCTCTCCAGTTTCTTGAGCATGAAATGGTTTAAATTCAAAATCATCTATGTACTAATGTCAAGAAAATTAGGGCGGATTTTCTCTAGAAGTAATGTTGCAGCTTCATCAGATAATTACAAAGGAAATCTCTACCTTTCTTTTCAAGAAGATAAATGCGTGAATTTTTGCTCTGGTATTTTCTAAAAGGATGCTGAGACTAGAGTAGGTATCAGGCTTGAATGTACATACGGGTGTCCTCTCAGTTTTTGGTATCGTACTTGAACGGCACCGTCAAGGAAAGTAACAACAAGGAGAACCGTTCTAAAATACACTAAAATGTGCACCTTGTCATCGACTGAACGCTTCTCGTGCAGAAGCGACCTGGTTTTAATGCAGGTACCATTTTTACCGAAGTTGACCTATCATTAATACATACGTTTTTCCCCTTCAATTCAGACCAAGATTTCTGATGAAGCACGAATTGAAGGAGAAAAGGAATCAAGAACTTTGCTTATATTTCTAAAATAGTTCCTGCCTCCAAAATCCAACTTTTTCTGAATCCAAGCGATATATACTGTGACTACTTTCTGTTTTTGCAGGCTTCGACATGTGCAAAGAAAGTAGAATGAAAGCGCTCCAACTAACAAAGAAATCAACTTCAAGTTTAATTAATTTTGCAGAAGCGTCGGACAAAGAGGAGGTAATGAGGGTAAAGAATCGCGTTTCAGCATGAAAAGTAATTTTTATACTTATTTTAGAACAGTTGGTCTAGAATGAAAAAATCGAGTAACCCAGGCATTCAGGAGTGCCCGATCACGGGCCTGACCGGGCGGGGAGTGCGAATATGTGGAAAGGCCTCGATTTTGTGATAAAAAAAAATATGGATATGAGGTAAAACTTAGGAAAGTAAAAAATGTTGCACGTTTCAGCATAAGTCTACATATAGATTCGTGATACTTGCCCTTTCCTGCGGAGCGGACAACCTAATTAATACAATTTGTAGGAACTTTCAAATTATTCCTAAATAGAGGAAGGCAGGTCGACTAATTCTGATTGATCAAGTCTCGTGTTTTGCTTCTACCTTCGATAAATTTATCGTTTCAAAATCAGGAGGAACCCTGAAGATATCTCTGTTTTCCAAGTGAATCAATGTATGGAAGACTTTAGACATTTTCGGGACCTCTCCACATTTCCTTCAATTGGATGAAAGTTATTTAAATGTTATGAAAAGATGATGCAGACAGTTCCAGAAGTCAGAAAATTGCACTTATTATCATCCTCCCTTATCTTATGCTTTTTTACGTCTCTTCCATGTTTTTACAGATGTCATCCTGAAATTGTGGTAACCTCTCCATATTTTTCCCAGTAACTGAAAGATATTGGAAAGTTGAGAGAAGAGGCTGCTGACGTTGTAGTCGGATCTTTCATGTACATTCATGGCATGGGCCATCCTTCTGGAAAAAGTTCATGTGTGGTATCAATCTCTTCGTCACGATGTCTTTAACCAGAATTTGGATGGTGGTAACCTTGAAAATTGTGCAGAAAGCGCCTAAAGTAAACGGCGGCCGCTCGGCAGCCACTTTTTTCGAAAGTTCTGTATAATGCATTATAAAGTATCCATTCCTATGTTTTTGGGGTCGTAGAATCCGAGTATGATGTTTAAGATTTCCCTGGTTGAAAGAAATGTTGTAAATCCATCAAGGCAACCTAAAATACCCACGTGGCAAGAAAATCGCTTTGTAATCATTTGACCGTCAAGTGAGGCTGCTACTGATTGTTTTATATGAGTATAGAGTTACAACTCACTGTACAGCACATACAAACCCCCCAAAGCCAATATGGCGGCCATCATGGCAAACCCTTTTAATTGGTATCGGCGAATAGCGTCAAGTAAAGTATCGCCTCTAATGTATTTTTGGTCATTCATTACGAGTATGAAATCAAAAATTACTCTTGACCAATCTGGAAGCCTGTAAATCCAATTTGGCGACTAAAGTGCAGCCACAGGAAGAAAATCGCCATTGTATTTAGCAAAAGGTGTTATTCAATGCATTTCTGGGGCTCTTTGTTCCATCAGAGTGGTTCTTCTTTGGACTTTTGAGAACTAGAAACTCAGCACCTCTGCGAGGCAAGTAATTTGATTAAAAATGAACGTATGACAGAAAAAAAATTATTATCACCCGTGCCGCACAGACACTGAAGTTGAACTCGATTTGCGGAGTTTGCAGTTGCTGGCCAATTGGTCCGTTGCGCAAGGGATAAAAATGCGCCAAGCATTTAAAGGATGGTGTTTATGTTAAGAGGTGGTGGGTGAAAAGTAACGGACACTGTGTTGTGGATTAATCCATATTATATTCTAAAAATGAAAAGACACAATCACATTAAAAGCAATTGGTTGGCCGACGCCATGATGAGTCCTCCCCCTCTCGGGGCCGTGTTGCCAATCTTTGCTGGTTGACACCAACCTAGGCTATCCAACAGTTTAAGCACATTTTTTACACACTTGTACGCAAGTGCCATGGTTTATATCTCAAAATTTTATTATCATCCTTTTTTCTCCATCAGTGTCGCCATATTCCCAAAAATGACTAACAGATCAAGTCCTCTGCCGACTCAGCGCGTCTCGCGGAGTATGAAAACGTGCCTGTCTAAATCTGAAAACTAGGCTTTAAGCACAACTTTTTATTTACTTGTATGCCATTAACACAGTTTTCCCTCAAACATTTTCTAAATATCCCTCTTCCCACCTCAGTGTAGCCATATTCGCATTTTTGACGCTAACGAACTGCACTCGGCAAGGTATGAACGCATGAATAATGTGTTTTTTTTCATAATTTAGCGACTTTTCCGGAGGATTTTCTAAAATAAAGTTTACAATGTATTTTGGCATCAAAAATTATCATAACTTCCCTTTTTTAACAACAATCTACAACGTGTAGGACCAAAATAGAAGATATGTCTACTTTGTCTTAATTATTCCAGGCATACGAACTGTAAGCTACGGTTTGCGATTATTGTAGAACAGTGATTTTAACATGATTCCGATGTAGTTTTTTATGTAGAATCCGAGTTTGAGGTTTCTTTTAAAAATTTCCCTACAAAAAATTGCCAAATCGTGCTAATACTGCTAAAAACCGGCTGTTTTGCACGATTCAGCATTTGTTAGGGAAAATTTTTCAACATGAAGTTCAAATTCGAATTCAGTGTAAAAAAACTCATTAGAAACTCTCTTCACACAGAATTCTGTAACTATTGTAAACCCAAGTTTTTCTTTGCCTAAATTGGCTGCCGACCTGTCGCGCGCAGAAAAATCGCTGTAATTCGGGAACATATCATTTCCCCAAGATCAAACATAGTCTGGCAGATTCAGAATTTTACAGAGAATCACTTCAATGGTTTTTATTTCACGTAGCAAAGATCGCCTTGAGAGGAGATACGAAAAAAGAAAAGAAGTCGAACCATCAAAATCGAAAAAATCGAATTATGACTATGATAAATTATGCAACCATCAAAATAGCATCAATGTACGTGCACAGAATATTTGTTGACGTTTTTTAGCACCAACCGTTCGCGAGATATCAATTTATAAAGTTTTGCCAAAGTGGCAAATTTACCCGCCTGCCCCCTCCCCTTTAATTATCCGAGGGGGCTAAAATTTTGCCCAGGCATCGGGAGCACTTAGTACAACATCTGAGCAAAGTTTGGGCCAAATCCAGGAGGGGGGGGGGGTTAGAAATATCAGCGGTTTTTAAACAACCTCTTTCCGAACAAACGCGTCGGTCACTTCCTGGAAATACGTGTACAATTTTGCATGAAGACCGGTTATTATATTTTAAGCGGCACACGTTCATACCTTGCCGAGTGCAGTTCGTTAGCGTCAAAAATGCGAATATGGCTACACTGAGGTAGTAAAAGGGATATTTAGAAAATGTTTGGGGGAAAACTGTGTTAATGGCATACAAGTTTTTCAGAATTAAGTAAATGAGGGGGGGGGGGTGGAAATATCCGCGTTTTTTGTACAACCTCTTTAATGGGTACCTTTTTTTAGGTAGATTTCGAAGGAATCTCTACCTATTGCAGATAGTACGACCACGAAGTCTTCCCTTGACAAATTCGAGAAACGAGGGGTAGCATCCCTTAAAACTCTTCCAAAATGGGTTTTCAGGGGAAAATATCTTCATTCGTATACGGGGGGGGCCCAAACCTACCGTACCAGGCCTTTTTTCGATATCTGGATCGTACAAGGTCCAGGATCACCAGGATGAATAGGGAATCCGAATTTCATGGTCCCAGAGACCTAAGACTAAAATTCAAGTTCGTTAAATTGACGTAGAGACTCGGAAAAAATGTGTTTTCATGGGTAATCGACCCCAAGGGATCCAAATACGTGGGTTTCATTGTCTGCAGAGACTTTTCTGATGGGGCACAGGGGGACTCTAAATTTTTAAATACAGGGTGTCCGGAAGTTAACGTATTTAACTTTCAGGATCGCTATTTCGGCTCAAA